TCAGTCGTGGATAATTGTCTGATGTTTGGAGATCGAGTGGTGGTGCCAAAGAAGTTACAGAGGCAAATATTGCAGCAGTTCCACACAGGGCACCCTGGTACCAGCCGCATGAAAGTCTTGGCACGCAGGTTTGTTTACTGGCCAGAAATGGATACGGAAAATGAAAACTATGCCAACAGTGTGGATCTGGTCAATTTTGCAGCGAAGATCCCTCCCAAGTGTCAGTGACAGCCTTGGCCTAAAGCAGCGAAACCTTGGCAACAAATACACTTGGACTATGCAGGACAAATCAATGGCCAATACTACCTCGTTTTGGTAGACTCAATCACCAAGTGGCCTGATGTGATTCCGGTCAACAATCCAACTGCATAGCACACTATCAACGAGCTGGAGAAGTTGTTCCGATATTTCGGCCTGCCAAAGATATTAGTGACCGACAACGAAACACAATTCTCCCCAACTTCTTGCCGTCGGCCGGTGGTCCAGTGGTCTGCGCGTTTGGTTTGCAACCATAAGGTCACCGATACAAATCCTCGTAGGGGGGGCGTCCTCGCGGTATACTCAGCCCGCGCGCGGCTGGTGGTCGTCGCGCGGCAGCGAAGCGCCGTTACGGCGTACAGCTGACACATTATTATTTATTATTACAGCTTCTTTCCGCGAGCGGTGCAAGGAAAAGGGAATTGAGCAGATGTTCTCACCACCATATCATCCGTAAACAAACGGACAGGCGGAAATGTTCGTGGAGACGTTAAACGTTAACTCTGTAAAGCAGAGCAAAGAAGGGCTTCACAGGATATAATTCAAGCCTTTCTATGCATGTATCGGCATGCTCTGAAATCAAACGCCCCTGATGGGAAATCGCCTACAGAAGTACTATTTAGAAAAAAGATTCGGACGTTGTTCGATAATCTTTTATCAAGAAGAATAGATAAGCCTGGCAGTACTCACCTGGAGGAAGATTGCAAAGTCACACAGCGCAACTTTAATGTTGGTGACATGGTTTACGACCGGGATTTCCGAATGCAGATGGGGTGGTCAAGAGGAACTGTTATCGGCAGGAAAAACAGAGTTGTCTACAAGGTGATGGTTGGACGTGAGAGGTAGATTAGGCACATCAATCAGTCGAGACCGAACCATGGCAACAACCAAGGTCCCCACGAACCAGCAGCTTTGCATTTGGACATGCTACTAGCCACGTTCCGGCTGGAATGTAAGGGTTAGCCATCCGCTGAGACAAAGAAAATCCAGCAAACCTCAGATGCACAATGCAGACTGGCTCGGAAACGAAGAAGACCACAATTGATGCACATCGATCATCAGGCGAAAAGCTGCGAACACAACCAAGTTCGAAGGGTCTGCAAGCTGACTCAATTCGAAAGGGCGGTAATAGAGACGCAAGCGGCGCTGAATTTGGAAATCGGATGAGGATTGCTGGGCCAGCAACTACCAGCCGGCGTCAAAAGAATCGTACCATTTCGTGAATATAATTAACCCGTGGAGTGGAATTCACTCACACTGGCGGAAAACCAGACGCGGAATAGCGAGCGACCTTGACCTCCTAAATTAGCATGTTTCCGTTACCAATAACTGGAGTTAACCTATCCTGTAGACACACTCTCCGTCTACTGAGTTCTGGCCTTTTATATTCCTTCGGTTGGTTAGGCGCGTGACTGAGAAGTCAGACACCCGCAGTCTCATAGGGCAGCTAGCAGCAGTACAACAGTTGTCAGTGGCAGAGAGCAGAGCGAAAAACGAAGCGCAGTAACACGTATATTAACGTGAACAAGCTAAAACTGTGATATATCCGTCAACGAAGGAGATGCTGAATGTGCCCGCTGGCGTTTTGCTTCCAGTGCAGAAATCTCCTAAGGCAATTGGCTGGAACGTTTTCCTGTTTCCGAAATGATGGTGCTACCTTCGTTGCCAGTACTATCTTTCAGTAGTAGCAGTGAAATGGGCCTTGTATTGTAAACTCTTCGTTTTAAGTAACCCCATAGGAAGAAGTCTAAGTGGTTCAAATCTGGCGACTGTGCAGGCCACTCCATTGGACATCTGCCACTGATCCACCGGTGACCGAATTTCTCGTTTGGATAATCTCGCACCGTTTGTGTATTAGGGGCATGTGCGCCATCATGTTGCCACCAAACGGTTCGGAAAGGGTCGTCATCCTGTGGCTGTGGAAGTGCTGTAGTATGCGTCCGGTCGAATGTTCCGTTTGCTTCCGTGTCGTAATAGACCGAGGGGGTTGAAAGGCAAAATAGTACTGCGTAGGCGGCTAGGCAATCACCTAGCAAGAGCAGTAGCCGGATGGAGGGTGTGCCTCTGTCACACCTCGTGGGGAGCTGGACGGCATTGTCACAACCGCTGCTGGAGGACCGGGTGTAAGTTGAGTTGGATGTATGGGGCGAAAACGAGCACCAGAGATTTCTGCTCCATTGATACTGAAGACGAAGTGAGAAGGCAAGGATGTGAGGACGGAGCAGTCGCAAGCTAGGCTACGCTCGACATCTTATCCGTTGAGTTGCTATAGCAACGCTTCGGCGCGCTATAGCATTTCTTTGTACGACGATGCTAGGAAAGGTATGACGTTAATATATTAAACCAGTAACCTACCAGTCATATTACAGGAAAAGAATAATGGTTCAACCATCTTTCACCCAAACTATTAGCTTTGGGACTATGTTGCATACGGGGAGCTCGGCAGCATCGTAATATTGATTTCGCCCAAAGGTACTGCTTCTGTATTCCGTGCAAATGGAATATTGTCTCATCGGTGCAAAGAATTGAGTGTATATCCACGTTATCCAAGTATCAGCTGCAAAATGCAAACCACTGCTCCGGATCGCATGGGTCCGACACTTGCATTGAAGTGCACCAGACCGACAAAATTTACTTTCTTTCAACATCTGGTGAATTGCGTATCCAGTGGAGTCGCAATTTTGAGCGATGAAGCGGATGCTTAGATCCACCCATTCTGTCACTTTGCGAATAACAGTACTAGCTGAACTCTTATTCGTTGTGGTGCGAGTCTGCCACGTATTTGGACGTTGCACACAGTGCCAATGTTTTCGAAGTTCATCACCAGTTTTAGCACGTACCGGCCGTTTAAAGGCCGCATTCCTGAGGTTATGCTGTTGCATCGCCGCGCTGTTTCAGCTGCATTGATGCCGCACTCCTCATGTAAACGAAAAGTAAGCGCACGCTGACCGTTAGTGGCTTGACGTAACTCAGGTTACATAAACTTCACCGCCGTGAGTGTGTCCTCGCGTTCCATCGCGGATACAGTGATCCACTTAAGAAATGAAACTTACCGTGTGCCTAGGCTTATCTGGTAAGTCTAACCAATGCCCAAATAACGATTTTGGCCTGTCTGTCCACAACCAGATGCCAAGCTTGCTTATTGCACATTGTTATCAGAGGCCACATCTTTCTGCAGAGATAAATTTCTGCCCAAGGTAAACAGGTATGCACTTCGCGGTGCAACACACGGCTCCTATTGGTTAGCCTGAGGACTATTGCAAATTATTTGTCTTTCGTAGAGATGCGCGTCGTGTGGTATTAGATTGGCAACATACGGCTTTCCGTCCACAGTTGCCGAGCTGGAGTACCAAGTGCCCAGGTTTTACAGCACATTTTCGGAGCGGTTCACACATGCGCTTTGTTTTTTCGTTCATCTAACATTTGCTGAAATACAATTTACTTCCCCGCTCTTTGAATTTACGATTGGAACCTAAGCCTTTTACCCCCTTCCGCCTATGGTCTTTAAGGCGACCCACTTTTGGGGGTTAGGCGGCACTGTGGGTTTCCGCTTTTGGACTCTGGGTTTAATTATCTTACTTTACAGTGGCAGTTACGGTGTTTTGCTTTTCATCTGCCCTTGTGCCGCTTAAGTTGCTCGTTTTATGAGCGGATATTTTTCTGACACTATGTGTGCCTTAACTTTGCCGTTTTGCGACGGTGATGTCGGATATTTCCAAACCCCTTGGATTACAGTCAGCTTCGAACAATTGCAGGCACTTTGCAGCAACAGCAGACACGGTTTGAGAAAGCGCGAGCTAAACGCATTGAGTAGCTGACGCAGAGACTCGCTAAGATAGTTGACAAAATATTCTACCTTTTAGCCCATCCAGAACCTTAAAGACTCTTCCAACTCCCGTCATTTTGGCACACAATATTTTCAGGAAAACGTCTCGGCGACACACTGCTTCTCTTGCACTACTTGATATAGTCCGTTTCAATCTGATGACGAAGTTACGCGATCCAAACTGTGTGCTCAGCAGCTCTCTCTGTAAGGTAGCTGGGAGGAAATTTGCATCAGTGTTCAGGTGAATGGCCCGATGAGTCTTTTGAATCAAGAGTTCCCCCCACTTTTTCATTGCATTTTTAACCTTCAGTTTTACAAACTTCACTTTGGTCATCTATGGGACTTGTCAAGCAATCGCTTTTTGCCCGCCCCAAATCATTGCTCATTAATATGGATGGCTATCCCTAACCTTCGATTAAATAACCCACCATATATGCGCAGAACATTGTACTTTGTACCTGTCTCAATACATTAATGGATACATGAAAAAGCGCTTGCACGTATGCTAACATTTACATCATCCTTGTTAACGCGTTGCCATGTGAACTCGAGACAGGCTCTGCTGTTTCATTCCTTTCTCTCCCGTATGTTAATAATAGCTGTAATACAATGTCTCCACGGTTGTCGGTGTTCGACCATTTGGGTTGGGTTGAAATTTCCATTACAGAACAATGGCTGTTCTGTGAACTGGATTTATCTGAACTTAAACATTACATTGTTACTTTAGGTACCCATGCAGCAATTCGAGCTTTTGTCAGAATCAGTTGTTTTTTGCTAATGCGCGCGCCATGAGATTTCGTGTTTGCTGTGGCGTACAGAGGTCTCATGAGGCAAGCACTCCACGGTGAGAATGGGTGGAACTTCAATTGATCAGTCGGTCTACCACTCTAACTACATGGAAAACGCGTCAACTCACCTTATGCCATTCGACAGACGCCACGTCGACCAACAGCCGCATCAATTCCGGTATGGCCAGGGAAGGATGGGTGTCATTCAGCTGGATGGCTACCTTATCCGGCAGCCGAGTGAAGTCATTACGTTGAGGGCCATTGTCATCAATTAGCTGAAAACGCCGCAAAATGTCTTGCAGTGTGGCAGACACCAACATAAACTCCTGCTTCAGTCGCAGTTCTTTCCCCTCAAAGCAATTGTCATTGGGGTATAAGACGCGGGACACGTTTTCAGCCACGTTTCGATCGCAAACAGCCTGAAAGAGTACACAGAGTGACTCAAAAATCGGCGTTTTGAAATTCATGTTTGAGATATTAAACTATATTGAGAGTTAACTACAATGAGTGTAGACATCGGTGGCGTAGTTGAGGCAAAACAAGTGCGAAATTGTTACAAATTGACGCGAACGTAGGTCACAAACCAGCTGTATTTGCCTCTCGAACCCTATCGCAGATCGAACGTAAGTACCCCGCCTACACCACCTTACCAAAATTGTACGAGCCAAAGAGCTGCAGCAGAATGGTCTCGGTCCAATGTTAACAGAGCGCAGCCTGGTCACGGACAGAACAAGGCAAATTGTATAGCTCTTTCGTACACAAGCAAGAACTTTTTAAATCCAAAAAGTTAGCGCTTATATTAGTAGTAATGTACTCGATTTCTTAACATCGTGAAAGAAAGATGTTGGTCGTTCATTGCCAACTATGCAAATGAGAGTATGTGTATATTTGTACACACTGGTTGAAAATAACCTTTTGCGCATGTGCACAACTTGTGTACGAAGGGGGTAGAACAGTCGCGTGGGAACAGAGCGTGCCCGTCGGCGATTCCACAGTTACGCCACGAGATGTGTCGCCAATTGCTCCACGGAGCAAATGATAGCTACGAGGTGCATCAAGCGCCGCCCACGCGAGTTGGCTATAATCGCCCTAGCCAGATGGGCAGGGGAAATTGGCGTACCCAGACGTGAATCAAGGTGGACGTGGCCGTGGACGGAACAGAATTGGATTGGACTGAGAAGATCGGATAAACAGGGCGCACAAACCAATGTACGGTGCCGGAGAAGCGAAAATGAAAATTGACCAGTGAAATAGTGTCCCAATGCTCGTGCAATATAAAGGTTGCTTCGCGTTACTAATAACAGGCTGATAAATACCCGGGCTTTGTTTCAACTACTGGGAGCTACACGACAGCATTCATATTGGGGTTTGCAAAAACTGGGTAATCTTGGGACAGCATATGCAGCAATAGATGATGCTACGCACTCACATTGATGTAGTCACCGGTGTTGAAGATAGAAAAATCAAAGCTTCTCGGAGCCCTACAAGCCCAAAGTCGAAGAGTATTACATGTGTTTGTGAGATATCCAGGGACCGGTGTATCATAGGGGACAGCGTACAGTGTTTGACAGTCGATCCAAAGCCTCCGTCCTTGTGAGTTCACCACAACCTGACCGTAGAAGTGCACCGGCACAGCGAATTCTTGTCTGGACCTTTCCCATGGATTGCCATAACGAAGCCAGTCATCCGGTTCTTCAACCTAATATATGAATGGATAAAAATTTGGACAGTTGTTCAAGTCACAACATATGAAATCGCTTGTTTACGCGGGACGCATACACACACATGATCTCAGCAACGTACCTAAAGAAAAAACAATTAGAATAAAAGTGCCATAAAATGTTTTAATTAAGGCTAAACAGGAAAGCCATCATATTGCGAATCGGTTGGTTAGTGCCAGAATGACCCGGTTAAAATCTAGCAGAATACGCGATATATAGGAGATGACCGATGAGCAGTAGGCTTTGGTGTGGGCATATATCAACTTTTACTTCTGCATAGTAGACAAAGTCGACAAACATCTAGCTGAAGTTTTATAAAGGGTATGATTTTATATCGGCAGTCTCTTTGACGCCAGTTTCCTTATGATATTGATGCATGAGGCAGAATTATGTTGACAAAACTAGGGATCGTAGCGTCGCTGCAGCTGGCAAATGACATTACTGACTTGACAGTTAAAGAGCATACTCATAAGACCCAGAAAAGTCACAGGGAGCAGTAATTTCAGTGGTGAACAACAGGAGCATTGATAAAACGAAGTATCAAATCACGGGGAACAGAGGAGTCTGTCAGACTAGGGGCGTAGGAGGTTAATCTTCTGACTTTTGTGAATGTTCCATCTACATGAACACTCCAAGATTAAGCTACTTCAACGCTACAACCATGTATCTCATTGATGTAGAAGCGTGTAATCCATCACCGCCATTTTTGAGCTTGAAGCACTGCATAAGGAGCTGCACGTATCTGGCTCCCCTGTGCAGCAAAAAAGGACATCAGAACAGTTTAATGCATTAGGAAAGATTAAGCAATTCGGACCAAACATTGAGTTTGTTCATAAGGTCTTACTACCAGAGTGCGCAAGCCGTTGTTCGATGATTGATAGACAGGAGGATGTTTTCAATGTAATTCAGTAGCGTAACTTCCACGGGGGCTGGTATCGAACCATCATAAAGAGCAAAGGAGATGGAGTTGTCTCCTGAAATACACCGGATTTGGTGATTAGTGTTGAGGAAACTCTGCCACTAGTAGGGTCATTTTAGTGCATCCAGCAAAACAATGACTTCGTAAATAGATGATAGAGGAGTGCATTCCCTGAACGAGTAGATATTTCAGCAGCAAATTACACTTTACACAGCGTTACTATAATCAAGCAAACACATACGAATGGGTGTTTTTTCCACAGGAAGCATGAGGTAGGCCCCTGCATCTAGGGTATACCTGAAATTACGGTAGGCGAGCTGAAGTGGTTGCTATAGTACCATTTCAGGTATGATTTATTCCATAACTATCAAAAAACAAAGTGTAAGCGCTAAGGCTATATTTGCCAGATCCTTTTATGGCACTGGCGTACTACTGACACTTCTCCAGCAGTCGGCAAACTTGTCTTGCTGCAGCCGCATTGTGTGTACATTAGCAGGAAGTGTTGCCAAAAAATCCACGCATTGTTCGAGTGTGACGGGAAGTAGTCCGTCAAGACCACTAGCTATACCGGAAGGTAGGTTAGTTAGTAGATTACTCATAGTTACACCGTCGGCAGGACGCCTTGAGTCTACGGATCCCAAAACTTGGGCAAAATAAGGGTCTGAAAGCGTAACGGTATCGCAGTTACAGAACCACTGGTTCAACTTCTTTACATCCATATCAAAATAGAGTGCAGGTTGAGGAACACCTCTAACCTGTGTCAGCAACCCCAAGAGTTCACGACAGCTACGGTTCCCAAGTACAGACCAGATATACACGTGCTTAACGATATTTCAGAGGGTCCGCCGTGTTAGCTTTCGCTAAAATTGGGTCGTTGGTCTAAAAATTTTGAGAAACTATGACACAGTGTTTCCTAAAGGCAGCAGATGTAAAAAAGAAATGCAAATATTTTGTCAAATTGTCATAGCACTTGGATACGTTACAGACTGTTGTATCCCGAAAAAGCAGCAGACCAGAGTAGCACCGGAACGTATGTATGGTGGAAACTGTCCGCACACGCGCACAGTACAATTAAATCGATAGAGCTACGCATTGCAACCAATCAAGATCACATGCTAGGCCAACGAGTGCTATATAGAAGTGTGAGTAGGATAAGCGAATCGAGGGCAAAAACACAGCAAAGTATTTGAACACGACACAGACGAAAAAATTAAACTTTTTGGAGCCTAACATTTTACGAATTTGTTCGATATTGTGTGAATAGCACTGCCCACACCTGAACGTTTGATCAGCACAGCGAGTAAAATCTTAATGTTTGGTCATGCTACAGGCGCTAAGAGAAAGTTTGATAGTAGAATGACCTAAACCGCCAATCGGAGCCTGATTGCGTATCGTGAACCACTTCACATTAATAACAAACACCAGGTCGCGCCTATTCTGGTTGGCAATCTCAGTATGTTGCCTAACCTGCGGGTGGTGAGAAAACGATCATCAAATATGCTTAGGTATACGGCGGAGATACGTAGAGAACAATCGAAGTGATCTGTAAGTGCTGCCGTATATTGCTCATAAAGGGTATCTTTGAGACAGGGAATTGATGTACGTTAGCCGACAATACTAAGTGATAGCAACTAAAACACCTAGGATTGCGTTGTAGGACTAAACATTTAATGCACTGTAAAGAAACGAATGACGCATTTGGTTGCAATCCACCAAGATGGATTAACGCAAATAGGAACACCAGCACTGCGGCATAGATGTGTGCATGGCCGGTCAACCCGGGGGCAGATATATTCTCCTACAGATACCAAAGCATCATCCACTTCTACATAGAGTCAGCTTTCTTGCAACATAATAAAACCTAGCTGAGAAAATCCTCCGTAAAAGATAACGCACGATTGTTTAACGAATTTCCGGAGGAAATTAGGTAGGTTGGCGTTAAGTAATATTGGCAAACTCAAATCTCCCAAATTTTTCCTTCAAAGAGCGACTTTCTATCGGGCAGAATATTTTCTTATAGAACTATTACATTCCGTTGCAGTGGAGTAGCAACTAACTTTGCCGCCCGCGGCGGGTTTGAAATTGCCGCCCCCTTCCACTTGTACATCCGTAAACGCACACAATTACGAACAGACTTAGAATATTTCGTTTCATATAAAACAATCGCAGACAAAATGTTAGAATGCTGCCGAAAGTGCAAGTATTTGCTTTGTTAAAATACTCGTGAGGAAAATTTACAGATCCACTTTTCGTGCGTTCCTTGAAGCAATAATATTGATAATAATAACAAAAATTTTTTCCATTGGCAAGTTCGTTTTCTATGGGGAGAACGACCATTTCGTGAGATTTGTCTGGTCCATTGAGGATTGAAAGTAGTTCTTTCTAATACTGACGAGTATTAGTGAGGATTTTCGTATAATGCAGCTAATTCATCATCGTCACTCCCAATCAGCAGGTTTAGGCTTGCCTGGAAAAGCCCCGGAAGCTAGCATTTCGATCTTCTGGGTCTCGTCAGTGGTGCGCCTCCCTGTTCGTTTTAAGCTTATGTTTTGAGAATGTGCTCTGACAGCTGGAAATGTTACTAGTACGGGCAAGAAAGATACGCAGTAGATTCCCCAAGGTGATGTTTCTGTATGAAGTCAAAGTTCAGAAGATTCATTTATTTCGTCATTTCCTGAAACTTTCACAAAGTACTACAAACTACCTTTCGGCAAAGAAGTACTCGACTTCGGTAAGCAGACAAGCATAGTTAGCATCAAGCAGACTTGACAGTGTAAGAAAAACATATTTATTTGAAAAATCATGAATTTGCTTAAATCTATGGCATTTCACCGGTCAAAAACCGCCTATGACAGACAGCAATTCTCGTTTTAACTCAGAAGCAAATCAAATATGTCAAAAAATGCTTCAATGTTCATTGGTTTCTTCTGACGGAGTTGAAGCTTCATGCTAATCTTTATTTAAGTGTGGTGTTTTGGTTTCATCCATTGCCATGCCCACCATGTTCTGTTTTCTGAAGGTAAACACTTAACGCTGTAAACTTGTTGGAACTTTGCTGCAGATCTAGCCCTTTTATTTAGAGACCTATTTGTGCATTCATGATTTCTATGGGAGGAGATCTCCAAGGGCTCAGAAACAAAATACACGGAAACGACAATACCAAGATTAGAACTGAAGATGCCTCTGATCTTGTGGTTGCATTTTCTTATTCCCTGAATTGGTTCAGAGCAATGATTAATTTTGAGTATTTCCTCAGCACAATATTTACAAGGCCTGTTCGGCTACTCCATCTAAATTTTTCAGCCACTTGATATTTAGACCGCTGGCTTGAATCAAGACACTCCAACAATATTTGGATGAAAAAATCATGAGAATAACTGGTCCATCGTGCCGAAAATTTAACAGAAGGCATGGTCAAATAAACCTGATATACACAAGCAAATTCGGGGCATGGTTTGTGCGTAGCACGAATATAGCTTTGGGTTGAATTCGCAAGTGTCTTTGCATGCTCGACTGGTAGCTTGCCGTAATAACAGCATTGTCAAATGCTTGGGCAAGGCACTTACCAAGTTGAATGCCATTCTTCTCCGGTTATCTCGAACCCAGACCAGAAAGTTCCTCTGCTCTTTTGCTGTTGGACTCAGCGAAGCTGAGAAACGACTCCTCCACCCGAGATATGTACATATTGTATTTCGATTACTATTTAAATAGTACCACAGTTAACGTGTCAACTTTTTTTCTTGGTTGGACCCAGGAATTTTTACGTGTCGCTCGAGCCCCTAAGCGAATTTGTCGCTTAGATCAGTTCATTTGTACTCATCATCAGAGAGATGGTGTGATCATGGGTAGCCCACTTGGTACAGTTCTAGCTGAGATTTTCGTGGGCCACTTGGATAACACCAAACTAGGTGATGACATACAAAATGTGTATTTAGACTGTAAATACGTTGACGACACATTCCTTGTGGTTGATACTGCTGGTAAAGCAACGCACGTACTCGGTGGTCTAAACACGTGCCAACCTGCAGTCACATTCACGATGGAAAATGAACTGAATAA